CCTGCATTTCGCGCACTCGACACGCACGATCTCCGCAGAGGGTTGCACTTTCGGTTGATGCTGTTCGTCCCGCACTCCGCCTTTAAGAGAGAATTTATAAAGTGGGGAAATGTTTTTTCATTAGGACATCTCCCGTGCTAGTTTTCCATACTCACACTTGCCTACTCATTGCGTGCTTGCATAGTCATTGCATGCTTGCATGCTCACCCTTGCATATCACGCTTGCATACTTACACTTGCATACTTTGACACTGGCATACTTCGCACTTGGATGCTTTCGCTCTTCCAGTGTGTGTGTGTGTAAGTGTGAGTGTCGAAGTGTCAGTGTTCAAAGGATTTTCCGGAAGAACCCTTCGCAATGCTTTCGGGAACAAATCAGACATTCAAATTATATCCAAATGATTCAAATGCAACAATAGAAACAACATCGGAATCATAATGGAGAGGGGGGAGCGGACCTCGACCACTTGAACCTGGAACCAATGTGATTCCTGTCCCTCGCTCACACCTGACACCCCCCAAGTCTGGCCTCCTCCAGAATAAAAACTCTGGGCGTTCTGTACTTGATATGTTTGCAGCATTCAATGATCGGCTGAGAATTCTGGTCGTTCTTGAATGGGTCGTACCCTTCTGCACGGCGACGTGAATTCAGGATGGAAAATGGGGTACAAGGTGGCCCTGCAATGAAAAGGTCCTCAGCAATCAGTTGCAGCTAAAAAGGAACACAGCTCCAGGCTCAGCCTCTGAAATAGTGTCACTGTCACGGTCACAGTGTTAATATTAATGTTGTTCATCAGTTATTCATCATTTCATCCAAGACACTTCTGAGTCTCGCTCTCCGTCGTGGTCAACATCAAAGCGTCTGGGCTCACAATGAGCCTCATGAATAGCACACCACTGTGGCCATGGCTGCAATCACGAAACAAATGCTCGCCTGGGCGCATGGAGTCATGGAGGAAGAAGGTTTTGGGCTTGGGACTCGGGACTCGGAGGGTTTCTTCAAAATTCTTTCCTCTCCTAACTTGAGCGGCCCCCCCAAAAACAAGCCTAAATCTGGAAGGTTGTGGAGCCTATGATATATGGTCGGATTATGGTCGTCTTTCATTTTTCTCCAACCGAATCGAATCCAATCCTATCTATCATAGCACGTGTTGCCACTTGAGACCCAGTTTGAGTCTGAGTCATATCATATCCATCATATGAGTTGAAATTTATTTTATTTGATACAAACGCTGCGATGCCCCTGTCACGACCCCATCCATCTCCAGGACACAGAAATAGTTCCTCTTGAGGAAAGGAATTAATCGATCCTTCTCTGAGGCAATGATCTCCTCTAACTCTGTCTTTGTGCATTGACATAGTCCTGCCTCAGGCCACCAAGGGCTGCCACCACCACAGCCACCACAGGTTAAGTGATTAGGCTAACTGTTAGGCTACCCTTTAGTCCCGCAAGTGCACTGCAATGGCACTCGTTAGTTTCTTGAGACTGACGTTTGCCCTTGCCAGGCAACTATATTCTGATTCCATCTGATTCCCGCTACGCGGATCCAAACGACGGATTTAATGTGGCCCGGCTCCAAAAAGCAATGCCACTGTCATTGTCACTGTCAACTCCCGACTCCCGCCATAAAACTGAAACTAAGCAGGCTGCATGCAATAATTGGCAGAGCCGGCCCCTGAGCAAGCTGAAGCCAGGATGTACCTCAGACAGCGGGACGGTGCAAGCCGTTGCGATTGAGATTGCGAGGCGAGGTCGAGGTCACAATTGCAGGGTGCAACCACACACTAAACATTCAATTGCTTCATTCAAAAGCAGACGAAAGAAGAAAACACAGAGCATTCAAAAAAATCTAACACAGACTGACAGACTAGCTGAGAATCTTTGCTCGCTGATTTGGTGGGGAGAACAAGCCCGCGTTGAGCTTTGATCCAAGGAAGTACGTGCTGGCAGGGTTCATAAAAGTAACTTGATCAAAATCTAGAAGGTCAAGAGGTTCTATCAGTTCTGTCTCTGAATCAAACTGCGCTTCTTCGGAGATTCCTGATGTCAAGACAGACCCGGGAGACTCTTCATCCTCCGTCTCCGTGGAATCTGCCGAATCTGAGTCGGTGGAAGAGCTGTTGTTGTCCTGGCCAAAAAGAAACTTGGTTAAAACTTGCAAGGGTCGCTCCAGTGGCAGTACTGGTCAGGGGTTCTATGAAGTCTTATGAGTCTATGAGTGGTAGTGGTGAGTGGCGTGCTTCTGCAAATGGGACCTCCCGCCCCCGTTTCAAGCCCCGTAATTCCGCGGTTTCATCTGAGGAAAACAGTCCTGCGATTGCCCATGCTCTCCCTTCTGCTCCCTGCCACCGAAGACCTGCCAACTTTGAGACGCGTGCTGCATCGTGCTGCGCGCAGTGCTGCAGTGCAATTTGGTAGTGTGGTTGTGTCACATGTGGATAAACCTTGTCTCAAATTGTCAGTGTTACTACCAAATTATCCTGGGTTTACAGAACTGATTTCCGGCCTGCGACTGCAACTTCATAATCTTCCGCTCGCGCTGTGTCTCTGCTGCCGCTGCTTGTTCCAATATCCCCAAGAACCCCGCCAACGTTGGCGGCTCAGGCTCCATGGAACGCTTTACCCCGGCCATTGCCATGGAGACAGGTGACCAAAAGTTCAAGTCAGTTCACGAACATAAACTGTCCTTGATCTGTCCTTTGTTGTTTTCCCTTCCTTGACTTGTCATGTCCTGTCTGTCCGGTCCTGTTCTCACTTCTCATCAAGGCCAGCTGGCAGCCCGGGAAGCCATGAGCAGGAGTGACTCCAACATTGGGGCGGCTGGCAAGAATCTCACACAACCAGGCCAGGCACAAATTGCATGAGAGGGGTCCCCGTCTTGAGAGGTGAGCGAGCATTTCTAGTGGCTAATAGTCGTGTAACGCGTGTACTGTAAGAATCAAATAAAACCCAGGCAGATGCTGAACCATCAACATGCTATAGAGAGAAACCATATGCTTCCTCCATCAATTAGTGATGACCAGGGCCGCCAGGGCCTGCCACAGAAACAAAGTGACCAGCCCCACCCACTCACCCCTCCCACCCACTCACTCACCTTCCCCACTCACCCACCCCACACGCCCGCGCACTCACTGGATGCCTGACATCAATCTGAAAGACGTGTTTTTGAAACGGCACAGCCGCTACAGTCTCCCCCATGATTGGGGGCAGTAGTAGTTTGTGCCGCTTCCCTATGCTTATCTATTCTACTCCTTTATAAGAATTGCAATTCAATTTACAGAGGCTGTGCAGAAATCAAAGCCTCATATGTGTGGTGTTTATGCACCCTCCACTTGTTGATGGACAACAGCTTCTGAGATTACTGACAATAGCTTTCAATAAACAGATAGGTCCAGACCTTAAAGAACACAAACACCCACTTATAGAAACCACCAGTGGTTACAAAATCGAAGGCAAAAGCAGCACCCAAAAAAAAACAGGCAGCAAAGACAAGCCCAGCAAAAAAGCCTGCTGCGAAACAGACTTCCACCAAGTCGGAGACTCCTGCCAAGTCCGAAACCGCAGGCGAAGAACAAGAAACTGGACCAGGGTTTGAACCGAAAGAGGACGCTGAGAAGGCCAAGACCCCTATGAAAAGACCTGCTGCTGCAATGAAGCGACCAGCCGCATCCATGAATGAAAGCGCGTCTTCAAGAAAGGTTGTTAAATATGAATACCACAAGGAAAATAAGTGGGGGGTGAAGTGCAATGGCAGTGAGTGGCTGACCGTCGGAGCCTTTACACATTGGACCATCCGAACATTGTTTTGTTTTGATAGTTTTGGTAAAGAGTGTGACAACAACATTCCAGTCCACAGACACACACACACACTTACACATTGTGACGTACTTGTTAGGTCAAGGCGCAACCCCACGTTGATGAGGAGATGCACATGGAGGTTGCTGACTTGATCTCAGCTCTGAAGTTTTGCGTCCAACATTTTAGTGCACATGATATTGTCACAAGTTTTTTCAGCTTGTTCCAAATACTACTAGAATCAATATTATTTCCAATACATGACAAAGGAGACCATTCGGAAGCGCATTGAAGAAGATGCTGGGCTGCACAAGCCTGAGGCGAAAGCTTTGGCAGTGACCTGGCCCAAGTTGTTATGATGGTGGACACTGATAGTAACCTAACTTAAAGTGAATGAACTTTTTTCAAACTTTTGCTGAATATGAGTCAACCGCTTAATGTTTTGGGGGTTTAGGTAGCGATGATGGAGGAAGCTGAGAACAAGATGAAATTGAAAGCAGCTTCCACTGCTGATGCAGCGTGTAGCGCTTCTGCTTTACCGGCTGATTCAGTGTGCGATGATAACGCTGCTGCTTTGGCTGATGCAGCATGCGATGGGGAGATTCCTGAAGAGGAACTTCCTTTGGAAACGGATGCAGTTGTCGAAAAGTGACAAGACCGTCTTCAAGAATCTGACTGAGACCTGAACAGACCTGGCTTGCGCAAAATGGAGTCGGTGTGTGTGTGTGTGCATGCACTAAATTCGGAAATAAAGCCGAGCAGTGTGTGCATGTTGCGTCGGGCGCACACACAGCCGCAAGCCTACATGGATAGCGTCATACGAATACAAGGGGGGTCCACGCGTAGTAGGCTAAAACACGAATGGCGTCTCTTGTGATAAAAAATCACCTACTACTTTAAGTAGTACTTTTTGCGGAAGTTTTGAGTTTCATTTCGTTCATGTTCCTCCAAATCCCCAGACCTTAGAGTCATCAAGGAGTGAAAAGCCAACGCAAAAAAGTGAAGCATAGATCAGGGTGGAGTAGCCCAGCCTGTTTGTCACTGTGGTAGTGGAGCCTGTGGTAATTGGAGCTCCCAAGAGCATATTAATAGTAGCCATAAATTTTGGAGACCCCAGTTGCTGATTGCAACCCCCAATAGCAAGAAAAAGTCTTGATAGCGCCACGCCACCACCACCACCAAAAGCTCGACCTGAGACCCCAGGATCGAAGACGATGCCCAAAACAGCTCCAGAACCGCCTCCCATTGTCAAAGAAGAAGAATGGTATTCCTCGGCACCGCCAGAGGGTATCGTGTCCATTGAGATGTTTGGGAAGGACTACGATCGCAAGGATAGGAATCTATATGCACCAGCACCTATTGCGGGGCCAAGGACGAAGATACCCGGAAGGCAATGGCGACTGTACTTGCGTCGCGTGGCTTATCATGTGGGTGTGACTATGGGAGGAACTGTTGACGCCAGGTTCAACATACATCCAGTTACAGACCAATACATGAGGACCAAGATGGATGAGAATGATCTGTTCTGGACGAAGCTCTACGCGAAGCTCCTGAAGGAATTTGAGATCGAACGTTGTCACCAATATCCCAATGCCAAGGCCATGCTGATGATGATGGGCGTCATTGATCCGCCCGAGGATGCCAAACCAGCAATCAATGACAGTGCAAAAATTTGTTGGAGGATCAGGATCATTAGACCATGATGAGTTGAGTGGACATGTAAGAGGAGTTAGCCAGAGCACCATGCTCTCCATTACGATCTTGACTACACCACCAAGGCCGCCACATCGAAAAGGATCACCACTATTCTGCTTGGACTCCAAAACGAGATGGCGTTACAGTGTTGTAGAACCTTTCAGATAGAAGGCAATTCGCACAGAGACATCATTGATACCCTGGAAAAGGTGTATTCATTCTTGGATTCGGGCAAAGGACAGGGCAACAGTGTTGGCGGTACTACCGTTCACATTTGGTTGCGCATGAGGCGCATGTATCCATGCAGTGGAACTCGGAATCATCATTGAAGGGCTTCACCCAGGAGTTCATTGAGGTCACGAACAAGATTGCGAGTCTTTATGTTGAGTGTGCAACCGACATCGGGGCAGGAAGGATTGACAGCCGTCAGTTGCTTGTCAACCTTGTCCTTCGAGCCAGAACCTTGGACGTCATTGCCACAAACAAGTCAAGAGTATGGAGATCTATGTGGGCATTGTCTGGGCTGCCGGGGTCATCCTCACTCACTGGTCCAGCAAAGAACAGCATCTGGGCAGTCATTGAGAAACAGCTATGCAGGGAGAGATTGTTGCTGTTGTGCGCTATGGATCCCAGACGTGTAGCAGAGCTCAACAAGATCGCCGAGGATGACACCGATGCATAGGGAAGCCTGTCCCCAGCAGATCATGACAAATACATCAACATCGAAATGCCAAATGTATACTCCGACTCATCAGTTGCAGGAACGGACGTGATTGGAGTCCGAATGGAAAGACATTCAGTTCACCATGAAGGACCCTGAGCCCGAATACGACCCGACTGACTAAGGGCATACATGGACTACGGCAACGTGGCATACCATGATTATGCGCAATATCTACTGACACCTGATGAGTACCAGACCATCTTCATGCTCGAGAACAAGGACCGAGTAACCAACTCCGAGTTCGCAGGTGACATAGTAGAGTTCTGGCTGGGGATCTTCGAGCTGGCAAGCATCTTTCAGAGCACCTTATTCAAAGACTGGAAATATATTGATGAGTGTAGACATGGAATTGAGCTGTCATTCCTCACATTCTACGCAGCAAGCCGGAGGAACATCAACGACAACACAAAGAGAAACAAATCTCCGCGCAGCTACCCATCAGTCGATGAAAGGTCTGAGATGGTCAAGATGAGGGTCAAATACTCAAAACCAGAATTCATCACCCGAATGAAGCCCATCGAGGCACCGCCTCCCAAGGGGGAAAAGACACAAGAAGAAGACGAAAGGATGAACGAAGGTGGACAGCCATCTGCGTCAACGCCTGGAGAACAAGAAACACAACCTGCGTCCTCCGAGGTAGATCCTATGGCCTACAAGGAAGGCGAAGGGAGATCGGTGTCACCAACGGCTACATGGACAAATCCAGGACTATTCTCAACCAAGGAGATCGAGCCATCTTCATCTCCGTGGAAGAGAACCCACGACAATATCCAGAGTGTGAAGAAGAGAGCCCAAGAGATGAACATTTGCCTCTGTTGTGCCTCCGATGCCCGCTCATTGACAAACTTTGACAATGAGAACTTTGTAAAGAACAAAGGGGACATCATGGCGTGTTTTGAACACATCGAGAAGATCCTCAAAGTCAACTTCACGGAGCGCGACGAGGTGGTCATCAAAAGAGACCAGGCTGAGAGAGAAAAGAAAAGAGCAAAGACTGCAAACGGTGATGACGAGGATGTTGAGATGGAGGATATTGACTTGCCTGAGGAGACAGCACAATTGGGCGAGGAGTCACTGACTCCTCCAACCAAAGAACCACCATCGTCAAAATCATCGAGCAGTAAAGATGACTATGAGAAGGCCGTTGCGTCCATGAAGCGATCATTCGACAATGCGACAATCATTACAAGATTCCATGGACCCGTGGACATTTGTTCGATCGTCGATGAGATGGAAGGAGGCGAGTTCAAAGTCATCAACAGAAGAATAGGTGTATCTGGACCACCAGACACCAGGTCACTCGAGGAAACTTTGACGAGGGCACAATCAGCAGGCTCCAAACTTCCAAAAGTGACAGGGTTCAAAGACGATTCAAGACAAGTGCACAAACAAGCATATCGACAGATTTGGGTGGCTTGCAACAGGGTGATGAAGGCCGAACCGGAAGGTACACCGAGCCACCTGTCCTGGACCAAGGCCACGCAGGAGGATGGGTGAACGTCAACGACGCGCTCGTGTACGGCCACATATTCAATGGCAACAACGGTCGAATCATCAGAGACGCAGAACGAGGAGGTTATCTGGACGATGTTCTAGCTACACGGTACCGCCGGTGTTGCCAAGCCATGTGGTATTCGAAGAAGTTGCAGAACCGTGTCAGATTCCAGATTGCCGCAGTACGCATTTCGATCAGCGATGTCATGAATGAGGAACAAAGAGAGTATTGGGAAGAAAACTACCTCGTGCCAAATGATATGAGACACTACGGGGAAAATGACAGATGGTTGTTTCCAGTAGCGATGAGAGCAGTATCGTCACACAACCTGGAGTCGAGACATACTGACAAGAATGAGAACGATGTTGCCCTCGACCCACGTCTCACATCACACGACATTGCAGACTCCATAGCAATGCAACTTGGTGGAAGTTTCCATGTGACGACTCTTGCGAAGATACCGTCAATAATGAAGCATGGAATCCTACCTGGTGGAGACAAAGGCATAAGGGGAAGTTCATTCTTCAATCACTTCGCACCGTGGGACAGAAGAGCATCTACGCTATTGAAGTCAAAGGTCCCTACGAATGATGTTCCAGTAGCCCTATATGTACCAATTGCATACCTGCAAAGTCTCGGAGCACGCTTTTCCGAAAGTTCATACGTCGTTGTGTTCAAGAGGGCGCCGCGGGAAAATGTCAGAGGCGCATGGTACAAAGAGCCAATCAAAGGGGAATGGAAGAGATTGCTGGCAAAAGGGATTACTAATCACCTTATCACAGCGGCAAGCCATTCAAACAAGCTAGCAACAAAAGACCAAATCCTCGAAAGGGCAAGAGAAGTTGTCGCTGAATGCGCGAGAAGAGATGCCAACATTCGCAAGTTGGATGAGCTTGTCAACGATGGCGATACCAAGAGAACAAAGCAAGAGCCATGCACGATCATCGCCCGAACTTGTGAAGGGTACAGTAGCATTGACGGCAACATCCTATGTCCTGCACCCATGAATGTGACGCCGAACATCTTCACCCTACGCTTGCATTGTCATGGACGATTTCACAGTTGCGGAGTCAGGAACACAAGCGAACACCGTCATCGAGATTGACGACGACGAGGTGAACAAGGGGAGATGACGTTGAGATGGAGCAATCAAACGATCCTGAGAAAGAAGAGCAAGAGATCATTGACAAAGTGAGGATGGACGAGCTCAAGAATGCACTACAGTCCCAGATCGCACCCTCGAAAAGGGAGGAAGGTCAAGAAATATTCACATCATCCTTTGACGCAGACGAAGTTGACTACGAAAGAGATTCACAAGCTCCAGAGATTGAGGTAGTCATTGACGAGCTAGATGCCATTCAGAAAATGCACAGCTGAGTTCCCTAAGTCCTCAGACAAGGTGATTGAAGATTGAGTGGCGGAAGAGTCAATGATGAAGATTATGAGAATGCTGGACCCAGGGCATTCGATCCTGAAGAACATCTTGCCAATCATGAACTTCCAAGATGGTGCAGATAGCCAGAACCATTGCCGTTCGACTCGCAAGATGAAGCTGGATGCCAAGATACGGGAAAGGGATCATCAGGACTCATGGACAGGTACATCATACGCTGCGTGACATAGGTGGTAAAGCCCATGTACACTTCGTATCACCAAACCGGCATTGCCAGATTCAGAGAGCTCTTCACGAGAAAGAGGCTAGATGTCATGTCAGACTTCACCAAAGGGGTTTTCAACGGATTCGATGAGGACGATATGCCCAAAGATCCAACGGACGAGCAGATGCAAGCATTTGCAATTGCAAAAGAGATCACTCCGGAGGAAGCGTGGCGCATGATGCGAGGAGAACAGACAATTGGAAAGTTTGCGCTACAGGCACTCGCATTTGGGTACACGCCCGCAACTTTCAAAGAAGAATTCGGTGAGACTGATCGCCCGCCACCGGGAACTGTCCAAGCTATGGTGGAATCAAGCAAGAAATCCAAGCAAGACGCCATGTCGAAGATGGTCGGAAAGTGCGTGAACGCAATCTACAACGTCACGTCCTACTCATACTTTCGAGATGATCTGAACAGCAATGACGTTCACAAGTACCTTGGTCCTTTGGACATCATGTATTCAAGGCCTCTCAACAAGTGGGACAGAGTAATGCTGCTGGTATTGGATCAGGCAAAAGTTACTTTACCATCATTGGCACACAAGACTTTGGAGGCGATGACCCAACACCAGGACAAAAAGAGCATGTGAACGCTAGAATAGCTTGCTGGGAGCAGATCAAGTACAGAGGCTGATGGACAAGTACCAAGAATATGGGAAACATGTCGTGACTGGGAAATGGAAGACTAACTACCCCAGCATCACGCCTGAACTTGAGCATCCACCATCCGAAGCAGCTTCATCAAGCCAACGTCATCAAGCGCAAGAAGAACCAGGCCGAAAAGGAAGAGGAAAAGGAAAGATCTATGGCCCTGCAGGTCGACGAACATGGGAACAGTTGAACAACTATGCTCGTGACTGGCAACCACCGCGTTCAGATCCAGGCATTTAACGCTACAAAGTTCCGAGATGGCTTTTGGACCAAAGCCAAGAAATTGACAAGACCCAGGTCATTGGACAAATCGAGAATGGAACAATGCCGATTGGATGGCACGTCAAAATGCTGAATGGCTGGAACGCAGACCTCGGGTCATCAGGACCGCTCAGCGAAGTTGGCGAGATTGGGATGGTGACCAGGAGGAAGAACATCATGATGATGTTGAATATGTAGAAGAAGAAGAAGAATAATAATAATAAGAAGAAAACGATACCAGACGCTAAATCAAGGTCAACGCACTGCGTGTGACTCCTTATCAAGCAAGTTCAGCGCACTGGCACTGCGCGTGAACCTCTGTTGAGCAAGGTCAGCGCACGTCGCATGACTCTGGAGAGTCGTAAGAGTATCTGCAAGTGAACTTTGTACAGTCGAAATTTTGCAAAGCTCAATCTATCTCGTGGCGAAGATCTACTGAGTGGACTCTGAGCGAGGCATCTTTCATGGTCAGTTTTCACGAATTAACTTGTATAGCCAATAGGTTGAAGTGCACGCTGTATATGTAAAAAGACCGCTTTGTTCCAACAGTGTAGTGTAGTCAGCGTCTATTTTGATAGGTCTCGCGACAAATCATAGCGAACCACTGTACGTAGCCCACTACCCTGGAATTTCAAGTGTGGCCATTGCTGAAAGCGTCGGTCACATGGGGGGTGTCAAAAGCAGTGGGACGACAGCATACCATATGCATGTACAGTCTACTGTCTCGTGTCGTGCCTACATTTGGCTCAAGACTCCCGTAGAGTAAGCGGAAAACAAGTGCGTGCCATCGCTGTCTGCGAGGGAGAGGATAGTCTACCTACACTTCACGTCGGGCAGATTACTATCCACACGCATAATATGTATATATATATATACAAAAGTATATACTGGGCCTTCGGAGCTTTTGCTCTTCCAATCAGTCAATCAGATAATCAAGCCAGCGAGCCAGCGAAACCAATTAATACTTGTTTTGTTTGTTGCTGTGACAGCTGCATGTGCTCTTTCTAAACTTGGAGGTTTGCGCGCGATTTCCTTACAGAACTTAGACTTAGGACTGGCAAAGCAGTGCCTGTCAACGAGCTGGAAGATGCAGAGTTTAATGCAGGCTTGCTTCAAACATTCAGAGAAATCCTTGATGAAGACTTGGAAACATTTGCGCATGAGGCTTGGATGAAGACCGATTTGAGTACGACCCATCTTTGATGCTCGGATTTGCATAAGCCAAAGCACCAAAAGCTGACGCTGTACCTGCCTCGGATTCCATTTGATGGAACTCAGGAATGCGTTTGACCGCGGCTGGCCAACGAACTGTATCAATTTTTGGTGTGCTGGGGCCTGAGTTCATTGGTTGCAGGGAATGTGGCCGAATACAATGCTTAAGGTTGCCCGCTGGCCATCCAATCAGTTTGGTGAATTCTGAAAGCTATGTTTGCATTCGCACTTGATCAGACTCAAAAATATGCGCGCTGTGCACCAGAATACAGGATTGGGGGAATGGGCTGCTGCAATGTTTGTGTATTTGGATCAAGCTAAATAGTTGATTCGGTTTTGCCGACAAGTGAACAAATCAAGGGACATCAATATCGGTTGGATTTGTTTTGACGAGATGCAAACCTCCAATCATGACTCGCCTTTGACAAATTTGTTTTTGCTGCGAAGACCATGGCTTGGTCAGAATGGCCTGTCTGCGGCTGAGTTTGTTTTGCAGTTTGCGATCTACGTTCCCCATCTTGTATGGCTTACTTGAGACTTACAGTGACACTTTCTGAGCTCCAATTTGCAAGCGGCGCATGTAAGGTTTGTAATTTTTGTTTGATTATTCATCCCTGATTAAGATGTTTGCGTGATGGAAAGGAAACTGATCCAAGCTTCGAGAGCCAAAGCCAGGGTGCGCGAACGAAGTGTCGAGACACTATTCGTCGTGGCCTTGGAGTGCTTGACGCTTCTTGCTGCTGCGCCTTGGAGTTTAGTTAATCGTCAAGTCGGGGCTTACCTTTTGGATCTATACAAGGCAAGGCCAACATAGTTTAGCCACTAGCGTGTTGGGATCAACCTTTCAATTTCAACAACGGACTCTCAACTAAGACAAACAATGGAGGCAGTGACCATCGCGGAGGGGTCTCAAAAGCCTGGACATTCACTCACATTCATCCGCAGCCAACCTCCAGGAAGGCTGGTCGGTGTCGGCAGCAGCGCAAAATAGCAGCACGTCGGGCCACTTGCGTGATCGCATCGGTAAGTGTCTCAGGGTTGCGATGGAACAATGTCAGTGGTGGTTGTGGTGGAAATTGTGGATGTGCTTGGTGGGAAGGGAAAGCTGGCTGTGGGGCTTGATGTTGGGGGGGAAGGGCTGGGGCCAGGTGGGAATTTCACGTACGAGTGAGCTCGTAAGCGCGAGTCCATATATGGATGGAGGATGTTGTGGTGGAAGGTTGAGTGGGGTGTGTAGAGTTTCTTGAGTGGTGGGACATTGGTGGCAACTATCCTGGGGTCTTCGGAGCTGCTGGAAGGCATACGTCGCCGAGTGGATCGGGTACGCCGGCGATAGGCGGCCAATGAAACTGGTGGTGTGCGGGCGGGGGG